AGTTCTCGAAGGCGGCGCGCGCGCCCGTCATGTCGGCCCAGGCGCCCTCGGCCGCCAGGTCGTTGAGGCCCAGCCAGCTCTGCGCCTCGCCGCCCACGCTCTGGCGCAGGTACTCGTGCAGCGCGTCGTTCTCCGCGCCCGTCTGCGGGGTGCCCAGCGTGCCCCCGCGCGAGATGCAGTCCTCGCTCGCCTCGTGGAAGGTCTTCGCCTGCGCGAAGGCCAGGAAGCACTTCATGTGCACCTTGGTGCCCTTCAGGCAGACTGGGAGGGGGAGACACGGCGTCACCAAGGTGCCCCCCGCCCCCCGCCCTGCCCCGGAGCCAGAGAGCCCCGCCATCGCTCAGGTCCTCTTGCTGGGCCCTAGGCACGGTCCCCGGGACTCATGCGCCCCCTCCTCCTGGCGGGCAGGGCCCTGGCTGGGTGGCCCCTGCCTCCTGGTGCCTGGCAGAGGCACGCTGGGTGGGGATCTCACGTGGGGCTGCTGACTGGGGGAGGAAAGGGGCAGAAGCTGGAGGGGGGTTGCTCCCCTAAGCCCTCAACTCTTTGGCTAGGTCAACAGAGCTCAGGTGTGCTTTGGGTGGGCTTTAGACAAGGTGATCTGCAGGCTGTGGTCGTGAAGGAGAGGACAGTGGGAGGGAGAAGGTCCCCAAGCAGGCCAGGAGGCCGCGTGAACCTCCTGGGAATCAGCAGAGAAGAGGGGGGTGCTGGGACTTCCAAATGCCTGGGCTTTGTGCAGGGAGGCCCCCACCAGGTTCCCTCACCTCGGGGAAGTGGCATCTGGGTTCCATGGACTGTGCATAATCAGCACAAAGCTTAGACATGAACGACCTTAGAGCTTTCCTGCACACGTCCCCAGCCCTCCCCCTTTACAGATGAGGCAACTGAGGCCCAGCGTGGCACTGTGCTCATCTGGACACTGTAGTTGACCCAGCCAACACCCCTTCCCACTCCCCCCTCCTTGTCTGTCTCCGCTGCGAAGGCTGGGAAAGCTCGTTGTTCTTGGAGCTGCAGAGCTCTGGTAGGCTGGAAACGGGAGACCTTCGCTTTCCTAATAAACAGGACAGGTGTGGCTGTCCCCCTACCCTCCTCCTCCTTGCCTTTGATGCAGTCGTGACACCTGGAGCTGGGGCAGGCATCTTGGGGTCATGCAGTGAAGCTTCTGAGCAAAAGGAGCTACCTGCTTCCAGATCCACTTGTTGTCCAAGCTACTGTTAGGTTTTCTATTACTTGAAGCCAAAGCATGGTGGACACTCCCTTCCTAGAGCCCTTTCCCCACCGGCCCGGTTAAGCAGGTTGTCCAGAGTCATGTGCTTGTCCTTCCTTAACAAAGACGGCCACCTGCACTCACCCGTCTGCAGGGCCTGCTGCTCCTTCAGCAGGGCCACCTCCTGGGCCAGGCTGTCCAGCTGGCTCTTGAGCTCCTCAAGCATCTTTGGGTTCACGACATCTAGGGTGAAGTCAGAAGGACTTGGAGATGATCACAGACAGGTGAGGAGGGCAGTAGAGATGGGGGTAGGGCAGGGGCTGGGTGGGGTGGATCCTACCTCCATCAACCACAAAGGACAAGGGGGAAGGACTCCCCTTGACCTTGATCTCTTGGCACGCTTTGTGTCTCTCTGTCCCTGCTGGTGATAGTACGAGTCATTGTGATTTTCCTCTACCAGGGAGCAAGGGGCTAATAATGCTCCACGGAGGAAGGCGTGGGAGGAGGGGGAGCCTCTCCAGCTCCGGGTGAGTCAGGAGGCCCTCGCCCTGCCCCCCTATCTCAGAGGCTCAGATTCCTGGTTTGTGTTTGAAATAGATGCTGTCCAGGTCCCCCCGTTTCTGTTCTAAGGGCCCGTCACCCCCTTTGAGGCCATCCTGCCCACCTGCGCTCCTTGACCAGGTGTGGCCACGTGGCCCCTGGAGTTCCAGCTGCCTGCGCCCTCCCTGCGCATCTCACCTCTGGCCGATCCTGTCTTCCTTCCCAGAGGTGATCACTGTTACTAACTCTTGTAAGGCCTTCCAGGAAAATTCTGTGGTTATACAAGTAAATGTGTATCTTCCTATAAATCCCCTTTTCAAAACAAATGTCAGCATGATATCCATTCTTTGTTCACTTTATAAACCGAATCTTGGAGATTATTTTCCATCGGTTCAGCCCGCTCTTTGTCGCCGCCCTGTGGGCCTCCCTGGTCCTGATGTACCTTCACCCACTTCACTAGTCCACGGCCATTGTCAACTGTCCACTGGCAGAGGAGGCCCAGAGAGGGGCCTGAGGGCGGCCCACACACCCTTTCCCTGCTTCGTGCTTTCTGTGCTCTTGGACCTGGCCGCCTGCAACTCTGCCTGGACCGCTCCTAGCCTCTGAGCCCCGTGGGGGTGACAGCTGGTGCATTGCCATGGCATTTCACAGATGTTGTCTCAACACAGCTCGGGGTGACTTCACTGCGGGCAAGGCTCCAACGGCAGGCCTTGCTGCAGCCAAGTCGGCCCAAGGACACCCCAGACCCCAGAGGCGACAGAGGGAGAAAAAGCTGCTTCCAGTGTCCTGGTCTGAGTTTGAACATTTTTATTTCCTCAAGGGTGGAATACACTATAGAACCAAGAATTAACGAATTCCTTTCCCCACCCTATGCATCAAGTATATCTTATGTGCCAGGCACTGTATATGTTTTGTGTCATCAAGTCCTCACACCCTTGGGGCAAATGCCACGATCCCCACTTTACAGCTGAGAAGCCTGAGGTTCGGGGATCTCAAAGCAGAGCCCTCGGCTCTCTCCGGTGAGGGTTGAGCGTCTCCAGATGGCCAAGCAAGAGGTTTGATTTCTTTAAAGTACTGACGGGGAGAGGAGTGGATGCCAGTTCTGATGATCTGGAAGATTCTTTCTGACCCTGAGAGTCATTCTGGCAACCACCCCTGCTATTGGAGAATGCCCCCCAGGCCTCAGGAGGAATTTCACTAAAGTTCTCTGGACTCATCCAGAAGAAAATGAGCCCGAGGATTCAGCAGAGGAGAGGGTGACCAGCTCCCTGGAAGACGGAGAGGGGACCCTCCCCCTCCTTACCTTTCTTGGCATTTGCAGCCTTCTTGACCTTAGGGGATGGCGGTGGCTCCGCGGTGGCCTGGGCCAGGAGGGAAAAGAGGCAGAGGAGCAGGTAGGCCCCCCAAAGCTCCATGCTGCTGCTGCTGCTGCCTGCGGGGCGCCTGGGTCGGCCTGAGTCGGAGAGCAATGGCGCCAGTGACCAGGGCTGACAGCTCAAGCAGCTGCCACGAGGACCTCTGTCCAGGAAACCCTCCCAGACTCGGCTGCAGGCGTGCCAAAACAGAACAAAACAGAAGGCCTGCAGAAGGGGGAAGGCCTGGGAGCCACAGAGCCTCGCCTCCCAGGGAACACCCACCCAGCTCCTGGGCCTGCCTTCTGAGACAGTTTCTAGGATTCTGAAAAATACACGATAGTCGTCAGAGCTCACACCTTGGGCAGCTGCGGAGTCACGCCCTTCCCTGGCGTTAGCTCAGGCCTCCCACCAGCAAGAGGAGGGGAGTCCTGTCATCTCCCCATTTTACAGTTGAGGAAACTGAGGCTCAGTGGGCCTTGCCCAGGAGCAGCACCAGTATTTAAACCTAAGCAGGGCGGCTCCAGAGCAGTTACACTACATTGGGGATGTTCGTTACGATGTTGCTTAAGGAAGGGGGCCAACATGCCGTTATGACACAGGGCCAGCATGGATTTAGGTCCAGGGGCCAAAAGCAGGGACGATTTGACCATCAAAATAGTGATGGGTACAATAAAATAGGGAACTGTGAGCACACACAGATATGAGTAAGTGCACACACACAGTCTGATGAGGAACAGGGATGTTTTCACAGCTGGAGGCCAGCGATCAGACCACACTTTTGGGGAGAGCACTGTGGCTGCTGAGTGGGAGCTGGATTGGGGGCCCCAGAGGGGTTGCAGAGATGTTAAACGTCTGTCCAACACTAGCTCCCGCCGAGGCAGGTGCACACCTTCCCTTTTCCTACCTTACCCGGCAGCTGGCCTCTCCTCTCCCCACGGCAGGAAGGAGACTCGCTTAGAGGGCTGTCCATCAGCGGAGAGCCGTGGCTTCGAGGTTTTTCACCCGGCAGTTTTCTCAGGGGGGTGTGTGTGTGTGTGCAAGCATATGCGTGCACGCAAGCGTGCCCTGCTTCATATTTTTGTGTTAAAAGTGCTGTTTCATTCAATGTAAGTGTTTAAAACATATCACTACTTTTGGGCAGCCCTGATTTGCCATGTCATCGTTTTTTCATTGCTCCAGTGGCCCACTGTCTGGACCTTGGAGTTAAAAGCAGCTTGGAAGAGGCCGTCTGGTCTAACCGCCCCTGGATGTGGGTGCCACTTCCCACTGACCCTGCCAGACGTCCTGTGCTTGCTTAAATCCTTCCTGGGACAAATGGCTCATTACTCGGCAGAGCAGCGGTTCCATCATGAGACGCTCAGCTTGTTATAAAGTTCCCCTGTGGTGAGGCCGGCAGGCTGATGAAATGTCACCCAGTCCCTGGCACTGCCTCTGGAGCAATCTTGTAAGAGGCCAGCAAATATCTGAAACAGGCATCGAGTCCGTCTTTGACTGGCTCTGCACTGTGTTCCTTTCCCCTTTTTCTCACAACTGTTCCTCTCCCATATGGTTCCTGGGCTTTTAGAACCTTCTGGAGAGTCACCTCTGGGTGGAATTTTGCTTGTTACTGTCCAAGCTGTGGTGCAGCTCCCCGAACAAAGCATGTTCTCCAGGGGCCTGCCTGCGGTCGGGGTGTGTCTCCTGGGGTCAGGCCGCACGCTCCATTCCGCAGCCACAGATGCAGGGGCTCTATGTAGCAACCACGTCTCACTGTTGCTAGTCGTGAGCTCATGGCCATTAATCCCCAGGTCCCCTTGACACCAGCCGCTCTCCCTGGCCAGGCGTGAGGACCACGTGTGCCCGCCTGCAGCGGACTCGCCCACAGCCCTGGTGGGGTCTGTGGGCCTCATCCTCCCAGCACGAAAGATCTGTGCTGGCACCTTTCCCCCGGCCTCTGCCCACCAGTAGGGCAGCAAGCAGGGGTGACTTCAGCCAGGAGACGATGTCAGGCTAATGTTCACAAGTGACCCACCCTCACAGAAATGTCCCCGCACTAACGCACCACTCCCAGGACCTGGCCTTTTCATACCAATTTTCCTGCACAAAGAATGACCTTCCTGACGAAATCCAGAGGCGGCAAGATCAGCAGAGAGCTCGAAAAGGCACATTTCAGCTTTCAAGTTTCCTTTTGCTGTTTGTTTTTTCCCCTCCAAACTGTTGGAAGTCTCGGTTATAGAAAACAGGCTCTGGCCACCCCACCCATGTCATCCCAAACAGCATGAAAACCTCTGGCCCAGCATCATCCCCACCCCCGACTCTCGCCCTGCACAGATGTTTCCTCTTAGCTCCACTGGCCCTGCGTCAACAGAAACTGGCCCGCCCGTGGGGGCAGAGAACCTTCCACGCTCTCTTCAAAGGTAAGCGCAGCCAGGGTGCGCATCTCCAAGGATATCGCCAGGGCAGTCTCGGCCCTGAGTGGAAACCAGACAGAGGGCCTGTAACCTTGGCCTCAGCGACCCTCCCTCGTTAGGAAAGTTGTTTTTTCCTTTCCAGACCTCGTTGGCCTCGGGCTGCCCTTCATTCATCACTCAGCTCAAGGTCTATGGTCTTGTGATGAGGTCCTTCAGTGAGCCTGTGTTTCTGGCCTGTGAACTTCACAGTGCTTCTCAGTCCAATCGCCCCCACCCCTTAGCGGGGACAGGATGGCTGGAGTGGGCTGCAGTGGGGTATTTCCCTTCCTCCAGGGCAGTCAGGTCCTGATAAAACCCCAGCAGGTGAGGCTGTGGTTCAAGTGCTCCTGAGGGCAGACCTTGTGAAATAGAACAGTGTTCTGACGTATTTCAGAACAGTCCCTTGGCCCATCCTCCTGCACGAGGGGAATTTTTCTCCATAATTCACTGTGAGAACCAGGTGGAGCTCCTGGAGGTAAAATGCACAGACGTGTGGGGCCCCTGATGCCCAGGCTCCCCTGGAGTTTTAACTCTGAGCTGCGGGCACCGAGCCTCCAGCGACTCACCAGTTGTAGCTCAGCTTTCCCTTCCCTGGTTCTGTTTCCGCAGAGGTTTCAGTGGGTTTCTGCCTTAGTAAGGTGTGTCTCTCTCCAATTTGGGGAGCAGAGGTTCACCCTGTGACCTCACTTCTCTCACACATCTAAGAAGAGTTGTTGCCTTTCCCATTTGTTCAGTTCTGGTAGCTCCTCCTCGTTGACTCCATGTGACCGGAAGGTCCGTACTCCAGGGGGCAGCCCAGCAGTGAATCAGGAACAACTTCAGGCCTCTTTGCTGGGACGTTAACCCGCTTTCCAGCCAAGGGGCTGGTCCGACACCCTCAGGATCCGCTCCCCGTCTATTCCCCTGGCACATGCCAAGCCAGGTCTCGCCGTTACTCTGATGAGTAATCTAGTGCTTCCCACAGCAGGGACGTGGCTCCTGGAGGCAATGAGAGAAGGGGGCAGAGGTGAACAGGCACCACCTCGCAGGCCTGACTCAGGTATGGCCTTTGCAAGGCGAGTGGTAGAATGTTCCTTTCAGGAGATGGCTGCTCTCCCCAAGCTAGGTGGTGGGGGCTCCTGCCTGCCCAAAGCTTTCAGAGAAAGATGGGGGACCAAGACCCTGTCTTTACCCCAGGCCTGAGTCCCTTCCTTTCCTGCCGAAAGCTGACTTTGGCAAAGGAAACCTGCCAAGATGCACCTGTGCCACTCTCACAGCAGCAGATCTTGGGTCTGAACGCCAGCAGGTCTGCCCAGCAGCTGCAGGTCAGTCTACACCGTGCCACAAGGTCTTCTGGTCTTTACAGCACACAAGGTGAGAGTTGGCTGATGAGACTGCCATTTTTTTTCTTTTTGATAGCAATGTCAGCCAACTAAACAATTTTTTTAAATGTATTTTTATTGATTTGAGAGAGAGAGAGAAAAAAACATCGATGAGAGTCATTGATTGGCTGCCTCCTGCATGCCTCCCTGCTGGGGATCGAGCCCGTGACCCAGGATCAAACCTTGATCTCCTGGATCACAGGTCAATGCTCAACTGCTGAGCCATGCTGGCCAGGCTCAACAATTCTTATGACCACTGACTCATTACTATGGTGTGGTAGAGCTTTCATATAACCCAATGCTCCACTCTCCTCCTGTACCTTCCTTACCTCAACCCACCCAGGCAAGTCTTGGGGTAATGATGCTACCGGATGTCCTGGTATCACCAGCCCACTTACGACCACCCACAGAGCCTCTGCTGCCCTCTGCCAATGACTGACCCAGTCCCTAAATCCCATTTAGAGGGCCTGCTTTCTAAGGCCAATTCCAGTACCGATTGCTTCATCTGGGTTCTCTCCAAAAGCAAAGCCTGAGCCGGACTCATGTTCGTAGTTTATTTGGGGGGTGGTCCCACAGGGAGCTGGAGGGAAGGGCTGGGGAGAGTAAAGGGGGGAGGAGTGGTCACAGTCATGGGCGTAGAGGTGCGGCCCACCTGCACACTTGGATGAGTGTATTGGATGCCTCAGAACCATCCATCCCAGGATCAAATGGAGCAGCCCCACGCCCAGTCCCCACTGGCACCTGCTCCGAGGCTTATTCAGAGGCATGAAGTCCCCGCACTCTGGGCTGCACACAACCTGATGCCTAGCAGGCTCCTGCCAGTGTCCTGTGACACAGGTGTCAGAGAAGCCGAGTAGCAGACAGCAACAGGTCTTCAGGAAGCACTGGAAGCAAGCCACCCGGACCCTGGCCAGGGGCTGAGGGTGGAGCTGCCCGCCAGAGGCATCCGCAGCCTGGAGCTTTATCGACCCATCTCCCCATTGACTGGCACTTACCCGGTGGCCACTCCTCCTGGGGTGAAAATAATCCTGCGACGAACTTTGTTTCACGTTTTCACTCCCCTCGTGTCTTGAATGAGGTACTTTGGTTACATTCCCAGAAGTGGAAATATTAGGTCAAAGGGAAGGAACATTTCCAAGGCCTTTAATGCACAATGCCAGACCATTTCCGAAGTTTGGAGTAGCACAGATTTATGCTCTGTTGGCAGTTTATATGTGAGACCACTGCCCGAGTGAGCAGCATGCAAACTGCTGTTAAGTCTAAATTCATGTGTTTTACAGGCTTGAATTTACACGATTTGGGAGACCAAGGAATCACAAATACAGTAAACTATTTTCAGTGTTCCCTAACACCGCACTTTCCACACCCAGCCTCCCCCAAGCGCCTCACTGACGGCTGGCGGCTTCAGAGGCCCTCTCCCTGATGCTTTCTAATGGCCGCGGGGTCTGCTGAAGCTGTGGGCTCTCCAGGACAGTGTTTCCCCGTCTCTGCTTTCGGTTTTCTCTCCCCTTGTTCTGAGGGCTAATCAGGGATAACCACACATTTCTAATAAATGCCTCTCCTGGTGTTTTTCTTCATTTGTGAGGTACACCTCTTACAGGCAGGGGTGGCCTTCAAGGAGAGGTATGGGTGGGACAGTCAAATGCTAACACACAAAGTAGGTTTACAGTTGTAATACAAATAAATACAATTAATACATAAGACAATAAACTTTTGCGTACTCACAACTGTAAGCCTACTTTTGCCCACCCTGTATTTCTCTTCCCATTACTTGCACTGTAACTGCTTGGCCAGGCAGCCCCGTGGGAAGCTGCCGTACAAGCATCCCGGCCGTGCCTCACTTGTCTCGTCTGTCTTTAATCATCAAGACCAAAGGCTTGTAAACTACTCAAATCCTGGCTGCCTCTTGACCACTGTCAATGTTCTATCAGGAGCCGGAGGACGGGGCGGGGGGGAGGCAGGCTGGTCTCTGCGTCATGAGCACTGTGATGGCACCCATGGGACAATCACTGGAAAAATGCTAAAAAATAATGAAAACCCAGGCTGTGCTCTCAACAGGGCAGCAGCGCCAAGTCCAAGTGCAGGCAGTTGCTCCTCTGCCAGGATGGACCTGGCCACGCGGGAGGTGCCCACGCCAGGAACTCTGGAGCCAGGCTGCCAGGGCTTCAGCTCACATGTTCTTCCATTAGGCAACACGTTCCAAACCCCTTACCCTACTTGTCTAACTGAAATGCAGACAGCAAATGCCGTGGTAAATACTCCCCTTCGTGAAGCAGCGCCTTCCCCAGGGCTAAGATTGACTGGGAGGATCTGATCCCCTGGAGGAAACAAGACTGCTCCCTCCGCCTGTGGGCAGACCTGATTCCAGCACACTGCGCTCCGAGCAGCATATGGGCTGACAGGGGCCTTCTGGGGCCTCCGAGACTGGCTTTCCTGTCCCCCGAGAATGAAGGCAGGCTGAGTAATCAAATGACAACATCTCTAAAGCAGCCTTAATGCTGACAGAACAAGAAAATCTTACAAAACACCAGGGAGTGGTTATAAAACAGAGCAATTTCAAAACAAGACTGATAAGAAAAGTTGGCTAAGGGCCACAGTGGCTGCCAAGCCCCTCATCCTGGGGGCTCGGGCTGGATCTCTGGGAGGGCAGGAGGCAAGAACTGGGCTGCCCCAGGACTTGGGGAGGCTCACCAGCCAGGCAGAAGCCCTGGGTGCATGTCTGGGCAGTGTCTCCTCTTTTCTCCTCCTGCAGAAGCACCCAAATGCACAAGGCAAATGAATCTTTGTGTGTGATTCTTATACTGTAAGGTCTCCAGGGGGAGGAAATTTTCACAAAATACATATCATAAGCATTTCCTCTAAGCCATTTTTCTCACGGGTCCTTATTCCAGTGTGTTCACTGTGGTTCTGAGCTCCTGCAGCAGGAGATAAATGAGTCCCCTTGGGAAGCCCATGACCAGAGCCCTTTCCAGACTCCCAGAGGCATTTTACCGAATGGCATCTCAGCTTACAGCTAAAGAATCCTAGCCATACCAAACCAGACCAGAAAATAGACTTTATTTCACACATACAAATGTTGCTTTAAATTCATAATAGTTAAGAAAAATATATACAAACTTCATCTTAAACAGAAAAGTGAAAACCAGCACTCTGTAGTTGGGGGTTGATGTGCCAGTCACCCCAGGAAACCAACCTTCTGTCTCTTGGGCCCCAGGCTTTCCTCCTTGTGCAGGATGCTCTGCAGCGAGGCGTGCAGCACCTTGCCCACACGCTTGCTGGTCTGCGGGACAGAGGGATGAGAGAGAACACACGTGAGGCACACGCTCTGGGAGCAGCTCTGCTCTCGGCCAGCCTGCCCTTCTAGGGCCATGCACATGCCATCTGCCTTACCAGGCCTTGATTTAATTAAACAAAGCAATATAAAACAAACTCCAACCTTGACAGCATAATAGTTCCCATCTGAAAAAACCATCCTAAAAAAAGGTGGGGGGGGACTCCAACCCCCAGGCATCAAGCAGCAGAGGCTGCCTCAGCCGTTAGCTCACGCTGAGCATTCCTGCTGCTGTTACAAGAGCAGCAGAATTGTCAACCAAACCTGGACTTGGTCACCGCCAAGTCCCACAGTACTGTAGAAAGGCGGCAGAGAGACCACAGAACGTGCACGTGCAGTCTGTCTGATGAAGGAACAGACAGTGCTGAGGATTTGTCCTGACAAGCAGTTTCTAATGTACCTGCCAGCAGGTCTCTAAGCAGAACCGTGCAGAGGAGACCAGTCAGTACCTGGACAGGGTCTCTGGTGTCCTTGACACTACATACACCACCCATTTTTGCTTTCAAATACAATGATAAAGAGAAAACAGGCACCAAGGGCTCAGAGTCTTTTGTGAAAAGCCAGTGTTTCCAGGAATGAAGGAAGAGAGTAGAGGGTGACCTTGCCTGCTGTGAGGCAATGACCTATAGACACATGTTGTGATATGACACAGCAGTTACCTAAACAAACAACACCTGCTCTGGCTGTGTTCCTGGCAGGTCGGTCAGTCAGTCAGTCAGTCAGTCAGTGTCGGGGTCCTCAAAGACTTCTCAAAGTCGCGGTGGATGGAGGAAGGAAGGTCTAGGAAGACACAGGTAGGCAGGACCCGGTCCCTGGGGCAGAGGGGCTTCTGGGCCAGTGAGGGAGACAGAGCAATGAGTGCAGAGCAGCTAGAAAGAGCCCTAACGGTGCTGCCAGATGGGTGCAGGGGGCCCGAGGGAGCAATCCTTGCTCACCGCGGGCTGGAGGGAGGACTTCCCACCATTCCCACTCATCCCCACTGAGACACTCGAGGCCCGTGAAGGACGGGGAGACAGCCATCCTCCAGCCCCTGGCCCCGCCTTTGCTGACTTCAATTCCCTCATCGAATCACCAAAGTTGCGGGCCTTAGAGTCACCAGTGACTCTTCACATTATCAGCTCACCACTCGCATTTGGAAACATGGGAACCTGGGATCAGGGAGAAGATAAGCAACTGTCACTGGCAGGTTCCTGAAAGCCCAGAGCCCCACTGCCCACCACTGCTGACCACGTCAGCGGACACCCTGCAGGCCGCTGGTCTGGGTCAAGGGTGTAACGGGAGGGTTCTGATGGTGTGGCCGAGGCGGCAGGAGGCAGCAGGCACTCCTGCCAGCCCGGAGCCAGCCTCACCTCCATCATCTCGAAGATGCTCTCCGGGTCCAGGCTGCCCTTCCCCACCTTCCTCATACATGTCACGACTCCCTTGCTGGTCACGGACACCAGCAAGCTGGCCAAGGAGCAGGCCTCCTCCCGGAGGGTAGCGTCCACCACATGCCGACAGCCAATCTGCAGTCGGGCGACAGGGCGCATGTGTGGGTGACCCCCCCGATACCCCCAGGACAGCCCCCTTGAGGGAACATCCACACCAGCAAAGGGATCCTGCCCACGCAGGATTGAGCGCTGCAGATTCTGCTCACATGGAAAATATTTGAACAATGTTCGACCAATGTGTTGCTGGCCACCGTGTGAGCCATGAAGCATGGAATGGAAATGGGGGCAGGGGAGTTGTAGGGGTCTCTATAATTCAGAGACCATCCAAGTCAGAGGCCACCGAGGGTTTCTGACAGTGGGCACAGGGAGAATTTCACACAGGAGGCCACATGGATGTTTCCCTAATGACAAAGATGAGAACAAGTGGGAACATGCTGAGGGACACGCTTGAGAATGAGTCAGGTGTAGGTGGCTTGTGTCAGTCCCAACGCTTCACCACAGCCCAGGTTTATGAAGTGATTTTCGCGGAACTAAACCCGGCCCGTTCAGTCTTATTTTTAAACAATGAATCCTGCGTGGAAGCAGCAACAATCTCAGCCAATACAGCCCTGGGCAGAGCCCTGGGCACAGCTGGTTACATATCAGCATCAGCAAGATGTTGGCTCCACAGGCTTGTGCTCGTGTGAAAACCACATTTGACCCATTAGACACTGGGAGCTGCTACAAGCCGTTAGTCTCACAGATGTGGACACAGGCTCACAAAGGGGGCAGTAATCGCCTTCCCACCGCATTATCATCATGTGACCAGCACAGACCCCAAGGAGCTAAGAAAACAAAAGGAAATATGCCTCGGGTGTCAGGTATGGAGAAGGAGCCTAACAAACTGAACCCACTTGTGTGCTCCTGGGAATCTGTCACCTCTTCTGATTAAGAAGAAAGGGCTGCACATGGAAGGGTCTCCAATACAGCCAAGTACTGGATTCCGGCTGACGCCACCTCTACACAGTTTGTAAAACCTACTTTCCAATCTGTTCAGTAACCAGGGTGGAAGGAGACCCACAGGGAAGAGGAGAAGCAGCAGACAAGCTCACACCTTGCAAAGGGTGACGATGCAGGGGACATTCTCCACATTTAGCCGGACGCAGTCATAAGGGTCATCGGACAGCTCAATGTCCTTCGACCCCTCTTCATCCTGCCGCACACGAACTTTTGGTACCCTGGGGGCAGAAGCACAATTAAAATCCCCACTGGCTGAAAGATACTTTCTCTAGAGGTTGAGAACAGGAGTTAGAATCCCTGTGACTCACACAAGTCACGCTTTGCCTGCGCTCCCTACCGTTCCTGTCAAGAGCACACGGCGACACCGCAGAGCAGTGAGAAAGGCTCATGTGCAGCACTATCTGCAGCAGCCCCGACTGGAAACTACCCAGACGCCCATCAACAGCAGACTGGACACACAGCCTGGCAGTCACACAATGAACAGCAGACAACACATACAATACGGATGTCTCAGGACTTAATGTTCAGCCGGCCGGGCGTGGCTCAGCGGTTGAGCGTTGACCTAGGATCCAGGAGATCGAGGTTCGATTCCTGATCAGGGCACATGCCGGGGTTGCGGGCTTGATCCCCGGTGGGGGGAGTGCAGGAGGCAGCCGATCAATGACTTTCTCACATCATTGATGTTTCGATCTCTCTCCCTCTCCCTTCCTCTCTCTGAAATCAATAAAGACATATTAAAAAAAAAAAAGTTGGTTCTGTGGTTTAAAAAAAAAAAGACCTAATGTTCAGTGAGCGAGGCAGACACGAACAGAAAGCACTGTGTGATTCCGTTTGTATCAGTACAAAGCCAATCAACTGTTTTTGGACAGTGGCTATCCTCAGTGGGTGCAGTGACTGCATGGGGTACTGGGTGGGAGGGATTGTGGAGGGAGGCAATGTCCTGCTTCTGGAGCTGGGTGCTGAAAACTACACTTAACCATAGTCAATTCATTCCAATCTAGGGTGGAGGAGCCAGGAAGGAACAGGTGTAACGGAAACAGCATTAGTGGTAATCTAGGGACTGACCTGCACCCTTCTGAATGGCTCTGACTATACAAAAGGTCTCTCCACATGCCAGGGGGGCCCAGTGCCTTGCAGGGTCCCCCTTCCCTGCTGCCTGCAGGGCTCTTTTTGCTCTGAGGATGAGACTGCGGCTATGCCCACGCCAGGTGTCCTCTCCAACCTGAGCAGCTGGGTCTTACCACCCTGCTGCAGTTTGCCTGACACCTCCCCCAGAGCCCAGCAGCCTCTCCTCAGCTGGTCCTACTGTCTTTTTGCCATGGTGCCCATGGAAACTAGCTGGCAGATGGGGAGTAATTTCTGAGGCTTGAGGTGCAACAGATGGCAACTTCCTTTCTCCAACAGAGCCAAGCCCAAGCTGCTGCTGGCAGCTGGCACTCAAGCCCCGCAGTGACCACCAGTGCCAGGCCCTCGACTATCTCAGCCAAGAGTCTAGTCACACAGCTCTGGGTGAGGACTCTACAGCTGTCATTCTCAGCAAACACTCCATCCCACAATTTCTGACTCAAATTTATTTAACTTTTTTTGTTTTGTTCAAAATTATGCAGGTAGTCTAAATTCAACATAGAAAAACTCTAAAATACAGATCAATGTTAAATCATTCATAATATGAGCACTGGAAAACTGTCACATGACCATTCTGGGACATACATGTATATTTACAGACATATTAAATATAAGAATTAGCGAAAGTAAAATACAACAAAACAACAAAACAGGATGAGAGGACTGTATCTAGCGGCTGGTTCTTCATATTAACGAACCTCTACACAGGCTGCTGCGTCAATTTTAGTCCCCCACGTTGGGACACTGGGTTGTTTCCAATTTCTTACCACTACAAAGCTGCCATGAACATTCCTCAGATAGTATCTTCACTCACTTATCCAATCACTTCCTTAGGCTATTTCCCTAGAAGCTCCCACTCCTCACTTCCCAATACCCCAGGACCCCCATTCCCGTAATGTAAGCTCTCTCGTGGAACGAACACCTACCCCACGTTTACTTTCAAATGCTGCAAACTTTCCTCAAAAAACTTGGTGCACAGAGCAGGGGAGAGGCTATATAATCAAACAGTCTGAGGAAAAGTCAACTCCAAAAAGGCTCAGTGCCTTGTCCCTGGCTCCGCAGCCTGTCGGGGAAGCTGAACCTGCTCTTCACTGAACTCGAAGCACAGGTTGCTGCCCTTATAGAACATTCACGTATCCAGTAAAGGGTTCCGTGAGCACCTGCTGTGTGTCAGGCACTGTTCACGGTGCTGGGGGGATGGCACAGCAAATGGACAATCCCCTGCCCCATGGAGTTTTGTCCAACAACAGTGTTTGGACAGCTAACCTGTAGCTGGTTTCTACTCTTTTTGCCTCTCTGTAGCTTTCTAGTATTTTTCTACATAGTACATGTTTACTTATGAAAATAGCAATACAAAAAATAAATACATAAATAGATGCATAGATTTAGTTCTAATTGATGAAATCTGTTTTCTGGAGCTCGACATGCAATATCACCATTTTCAATGCTAAACCCCCTCGTGATCTTCACCTATGAGCTACAGTAGAAATTTCCTTGGTGGTCCATCACCAGTGTCTGCCTGGGATCTCCAAGGGCCCCGGAGCTGTTTCTGGAAGACTCACCTTGTATTGAAGAGAGCGGCCTTGACAGCGATGGAGATGGCATCGAACAAATTTCCACCACATTCCAACAGCTAGGGAGACAGGGATGAGCAGGGAAGAAAAGGCAAGCTCATGTCTTACTTCAGTATCACCCCCATGAAGGATACTGTTTCCTAAGACATGGTGACCAGTGATGCCCCAAAGAGCTCCCAGCTGTACCGCACGCATTACTCTCATCCTTGCTAATATCTGCCCAGCTTCCAAACAAGTAGAGAATGATGGCCGCTGATGCTGCAGCTGCTACCAGGCTCACAGTCACTGGTGTCGTTACCCACTACATGTCCTATCAACATACACCTGATGCTCCAACAGGCAACCCTCCCTTCATGCTTTATATTTAGTATAATAAAAGCGAAGGTCTTTTATACCATTTTCGCCCATGAGCAAAAGTGCCGACTGCACTTATGCGAGCTCATTCCGCAGGGAAGCTCAGAGCACACTAAGTGGAAGGTGACACATCCTTCTGTCCTCGTTTGAGAGAGGCCTTGGCCCGAGTTCACGGCATAAAGCTGCCTGGGCGTGTACACCAAGGGAGAATGGAGAGGAAGCCCGTCGTAGAAAGGAAAGCTGTGTATGTCCGTGCTTCTGCACAGTCTGTCCTCTCCTCGCATGCACTGTGAACTCCTGAGGGCTGGATCCTGCGGGTGTGTTCTTTCCTTTACCCTCAGAGTCCAGCAGAAGGGTTGCCGTGAAGGAGGAGCCTGGAGACTATTCATGGAAGACAGGCGGGCCCTAAGCCAGGGCCTTCCAAACTCAACTAACAGTCGGCAGCGACGCCTGGCCCCTCTCCTTCGTGTACTTCATTCATGCCCAGTGCAAGTCTCCAATTCCCACCTTCAAGCTTTCCGAGCCAATGTCGCGTGCAGACCCTGCCTTTCCTACAGCCTGTATAATTACTGCTTATTAAAATATGATCCCCTGGCCCGCGTGACCACCTGGCCTTGTGACTGCAGCTCATTCGTCTGGCAGGCGCGCTAACTCTTCCTTCAGTAGGGATCACGCTACAGGGCACGTCCTGCTTACTGGAGACGAGAAAGAGCGAACGGACTTGCAATGTTATGTGTCACCCATTAGCACCGGCATTCGGAACAGCCCTCACCTGCTGGGCAGTGGCAACCAACCACTATCCACTGTCTGTTAGCTGTGTTCCCTCCACTATCGAATGAACTTAAAAGCACCCAGACAGCCCTTCCCTGTTTCTTGCAGGGCTGGCATTTAGAGACGGCTGGGCTGTGCCTCCTCAGGTCACTAGTGGTCCACAGACCTGCTTTATCCTCGGGTTACTAAAGAATCTATTCGGTCAATAGCTTAGCCTTGTGTCCTCGAGCTGAGTGGAAGAGGTAGTCACTGATCTCAAGGTTCATAAAATTTAATTAGAAAGAACAAAAGAGACCAATCAAGAGCCTCTACATGAACAAGCAACTGGCAAAATTAATTACAGCTCTAAGAGGAGTTACTGTCTGATCCAAAAACCGGGCAGAGGAGTACTTGGAAGGGAAAACACCAGAAATGAAATGAGGGTGGGAACAAAAAAGACTCCTGAAGGAGCAGACTATGGAGTGGGGAGGCAGGGCCTCAGGGGCCTCACTTGGGAAACGAGAGACTCAGGGTAGGTGGCCTACAGGGTGTTTCCCAGGGAAGACGGCTTAGTGAGGTCAAGAGCAGACACTGGCACTTCTGGGCCCACTACCTGGCTTTGAGGCCTAATACCACTACTCTCGAGCTGAGACGCCTTGGGTGAGTTACTCTACCTCTGTGCGTCTCGGTTCCCTCACTTATACCTGGGGAAGCTAATTGCGCCCACTCGCAAACATTTGTACGGGATAAATGAAAACGCATGTAAACAGCTCGTTGTCACTCCACGCAGAACGTGCCCACTTGTCTAGATTCTGCCAACGACTCCGGCACCATCTAGAGAGCATCTCTTGCTTTTTCTTCCCTGACAATCTCTGTGGATAACTTTAGGTGCTACCATGATATGCTGCTGTAACTTTATTGTAGGATGGCGCTGTATGTAGGCTACTATACACTACATTTAATTTAATACATATATGTATTACAGGAAATAATCTTTTCCCAACTAATCTCACCCCGGAAGTTGAAAGTCTCCACCTGAAGAGGGAAAAGCACCAGCAGGAAAGCAGGCCGGCGGGTCTCCTGCCGGCACAGCACAGTGATCCTTACCAGCACGTCCACATAGAGGACCCAGCAGTGCTCCCGAGGACTAATGCAGAGGGACTTCAGGTCCACGCTGCTCTTGTTGAATATTCGGTAGAGGGTATTAGCAATCTCCGTGCCAAGGTCATCGCCTCCTCGACCTTCAAATTCAGGGGTAGCATTGGCTGAACTGCACAGAGGGGCAACAGAAAAGCTGGTGAGTCTTCTCAAATGCAAAGAGCAAAGCAGGGAGGCTTTATTCCAGTTGCCTGTAGAATGACGGAAGAGCCGGTGCTACAAGGGAAGTCACTGAAATGAGGACAGGACGGCATCTGCCACTTTTCCAGCCTCCAGACAGACACGTACAATGGGCCAGACCAGCACCGGGCCCTGGATTTGTCAGTGTGTGTGATGGGAGATCCCTGACTTCTAACAGAAGTTGTCTTTATCCAAAGAGAAACGAGAGAGCAATGGTAAAGTGAACTCTGGTCAGTGATAGTTAACTACCTTGAAACTATAATAAAATACCTTCTCTGGCTGGCCCAGGAAGCTGGAAAGCCGAGAATCAAACAGTCTGGCTTTGGAGGGGCTGCATTATATACACCATCCCTAGTTTTCACAGCCTAAGAATGCACAGTGTGCTCTCCAAACAAAAGCACAGAGTAAGTACAGTAACTTTCCTGGAACGTTTGTGTGGTTTTGTTGTTAATCCTCACCTGAGGCAATTTTTTCCATTGATTTTTTAAAATTTTTTTAGAGAGTAGAAGGGAAGGAGGGAAGGGGGGAGAGAGAGGGAAAGAAACATTGATGTGAGAGAGACATATCCACTGGCTGCCTCCCACACGTGTCCCAACCAGGGCTGGGGATCAAACCTGCAGCCCAGGAAGGTGCCCTTGGCTGGGAATCAAACCCGAGACCACTCGGCTCATGGGCTGACGCTCTAACCACAGAGCCGCACCGGCCAGCGCTGGAATGCTTCAGGAGCTACGTAAGAGAGTACGCCAGAGCCTTGTCATGAGCTCTAGATTGTCACTGCCCTGAAAAGCAGGAAAAAGAAATAAGACAAACAGGCTTCTGCCTGGTTAAATATTAGGTGCTCTCTTTTACTTTATTTGCTATTTTTCAAAGAGAACACCTTTTCCATTTGGGCCTCTTGAATTTTATGCCTAATTACCTCAACAAAGAAGGAAGACACATCACATTTGCCACCCTAAGCATCACTCAAGTGTTTAATAGGAAACTGTGGAGGGCTCTGACTTAACAAAAACAAACCCTTAATACCTCTGTGAGATAAGCCAACATTCCAGTAGTCACCTAACATAATGAGTAAGGCCCAGAGCGGTAGGAAGCCAGTTGTTTCAGTATGGTCTCTGCCAAATCCCACAGTGAGGCTCTGACCCCCAGCCCATCTGTGCATCCGCTCTGCCACCCGGAAGGTACCCAGCCAAATGCCAGGCACTGCAGACCCAGAGCCTGTGCACAGAGGATGCCCACCCTAAGTCAGAATTCCAGTGAAGTAGGGGGTGGTTTCATGGCTGGGAGGGAGCAAACAGCAGGAGCCCAGGATCAGGATCTCAGCAGTGTTGAGGGTTATAGGAGACCTCCAACCTGAAGATGAGCAGAAGCTGGTCAGGCCGCAGGCAGGCAGGAAGGGGGCGGGGGCGTCCAGGCAAAGCTAAACCTGTGTGGAAGCCATGCCCACCCTATTTGTGTAATGCTAAGAAATGTCACCTAATATAGTGAAATATCCCTTTTGTCTAGTCCATTTTAATATAGGTATAAAAGTGAATCCTAAAACAACCAGAGCGTCCTGTTGTATAACTTTGCTTCTCTAATCATACAGTCCTCCCTGACTACTATGAGTCAGCAAAACCCCAATTAAAAATCCCCAAGAGAAACTTCATTACTGCCATAGCAACCTCACTGGTCTCTCCCTGCCTCTGCTGGACTCAGGCACTGAGCCATGAAAAAAAGCTCACTTATGGCGAAATAATCAAGTCACCAGGGACCAAGTTAATTTTGCACAGCCAGCAACACACAGCCTGTTCCTAATTCAAACACTAAGCAATCAATATGAAAGCTCCATCTTTCAAGTGTTTAAAACACATCTACATAGGTCTCTGTGTAGACGAATCCAGTCCGAGATGCTAATGCTGCAAATGTTTACCTTCCCCTGATTACAGTGGGGCACATCCTCCAGGGTGTGACTGATAACTGGAGAGGAAGCAGCAACTCCCCCACAGCCAGCCCTGAGGGGTGGCTTACAGACTTCCCAGGCCCAACTGGCTAAATTAATCGACCTACAAAACCACGCCCCATTGTTTTTTTGACACTGGGCTAATTTAAAGTGAAAAATTCCCCAATTTTAAAAGTCTTATTTTCTTTCCTTAAACATATCTTTCTTTCAGCACAGCTGGTAGACAGGCAGAGAAGACCGTTTTGAGGCGGACGAGACCACAGAAAGCTCCTGCATCTGGATAGTGCCCTGGTCATGGAGTGAATCTGGGGAGGAGGCAGGAAAGGACACTGTCCAGGGTGGGGATGGGTGCAGGGCTTTGGGTACAGTGAGAAAAGCCAGAGACTGGATTCTGCCAAAGGATGAAGAGAAGGGCTGCAGTGAAAAAGTGAGGGTATCGCCTTATCACTAGGGGCGCTCACAGCACAAGGACCCTTTCCGACAGAGTGGGTCAGAAATTCAGACCTGGTGAGGGCCTTAGAGTCTCCAGAGGACTACAAAATCAAATGCCTGCAAGGGCTAGCCAGGTAACTACATGCATCTGAACAAAGGGCCATATGTAATTAACAGGGAGTGATGGAGACTGGCAAACTTTCAGGCCCTGTCTGAAGGCATTTTAATTCATCTTTGATAAAAGCCTTCATTAGTGAAACAAAAATCTTGCAGATGAATTGTGGCCTCAGGAGGACACTGTGAGACCTCAGACGGTCTGATTCTCTCACTTTACAAGGAAGGAGACTGCAACGAATTTTTTGGAAAGTGTACCACGTGCTAGACACCACTCTGAGCATTGAGATGTATTAACTCAATTCCCACAACAACCTTAGAGATCAGCACTGTTACTGACCCTATTTTAGAGACAATGAAACTGAGTTGCAGAAAGGTTGTGTAACTTGCTCAAAGTCACACAAATAGTGACTGGGAGCTAAGATTCTAGACCCAGGCAACCTGACCCTTGTCTGCGGAGCTTCGCTGGACTCTCCCTGAGTGTGCAATCTAGCACGTCTGGCTCATAGCCTAACATCAGTCAGGTTAGCTTTCCTTGGGCCTGTCTTATGCCTCAAAGTAATAAAGGGGCACTCTGGTCCTGGGAGTTATTACTAGAGCACAAATGTTGGAGTCCAGGAGTGGAGACCAAGGGAGACCTAAATAAAAGACTTCTCTATTAGGTACAAGGTTTAAAGAGAGAGAGAGGAAACAGGCTGATAATCCCCCTGCTCATAGACATCACAATCTATTCTTTCAGTGGGAGAGAGTATATAGGTCTTTTAGCATAAAACCAAATGCCTTTTTATAGTTACCCAAACCAATTCAGACCCTTTGTAAAGACCCACTCCTCCAGGGCTGTTAGGAAACTGCTTATTGAGCTGGATAAACTAATAAAATCCTGGGAATGCCGTCCCTCCCAGTTCTCCACCCCTCCTGACTCATAGCCTCCACTCCACTCCTCCTGCTTGGCACCTCTCTCCCTGGTTCAACTGGGGTAGACTGAGATCAAGGCCACGTCTACTTGCAATGGGACTTCAGACACTAGGCCCATTGTTGTTTCCCTTACAATCAACAGAGACTGCAAACCCTGGAGTCTCACAGTCAGATCAGGCCAGGCCCATGCAGAAGTGATTTGGTGGGTATCTGGGCCAAGGCTGACTAAGGACCCTTCCCTCCCTCAGTCACCCAGCCCCAAGGCAGGTCCTGATGCCTCTGACTCATGTGCTCATTTCTGAGCCTACCGAAGTGTCCTCATAAATGGGTTGGGAATATAGCACATTTAGAGCTTGTCACCTAAGCCCTTGTTTGAAGTTTCTGGGAGAGTTATCGCATCAATTCTGGAGACTTGCAAAGTACAGCTAACCTCGAATGGCTTCTGCAGGTTCTGCTCTGCTTGGCCCCCACCCCTGGCCCTTCAGCCAAGAACAGTGCCCCCTTCAAGGAGCACTAAGCAGGTAAGGATCAGATCAAGTGGCTCCACCCACCAATTCAGGGCTCAAAGCTTGTGGTTCAGTATTAGCGTAAAGCACAAGCGATCACATGGAAAAGTAGTGAAGTCCCAGGGAGAAGTGACAAGTACCAGGCATACTGAACCGCCTCTGAATGAAACGTACACTCCTCAACAATTAAAAATCGAAGCCCCTCTGAAAGGCTCAAGCCAGACAGCTGAGAAACGACCTGATGACCGCCACCTAGTGGTAACCCAGCGTGACACACCAGCTCATTCAATTCTGACCTTTCTCTGCGCTGTAGATGGAAACCATCTTTTCCTGAAGTTTCAGAGTTTTTATTTAAATGGCCTATTTTTAGGAAACAACTAACAAAGGCATGAGACAGAAGTGAGACGGTCCGAGTTGGCTCCCAGTTTAGTGAAAGCGCTGCCAGCTTCTCTGGAGCGGAGCTCAGGAACCCAGGCCTTTACCCCTCTACTGGTAGGGGGCAGGATCAGCGCAGCGGGGTGGGAGGCAGTGTGTGTCTACCTCAGACTCCGTGTGTTATTCCAAGAGGACAAATTGAAGTAGGATGAGTTAGCAGAAAAGCAATTCATTTTCTGAGACCACTCTACCTCTGGGGATTTCAATAATTAGAACCTGGAAGCAGCTGATAAGTACTTAACTCAAGCTGGGCTCAGATTGGCAGGAGCCCGCCCGCCCCCCAATACTTTCCTCCCACTGGGTAAGAATTCTGTTTCAGCCTGAGCTCTTCAGCAGAGGCCCCATCCCCGGGGCCCTCACTGCTGGGCACTCTTCACGAGGTCAGAATGAAGGGGTTTGTCTGTGCAATTTAGAGTAGCTCCTTGCAGACTCAAATGAGGTTCTGAGAAAAGGGGCAGCCGGCAGTGCTTAGTAATCTCTCCCTTCTCTAGGAAAATGGAGTTTTATGAATCTCTCATGTAATTCTACCTGCTGGGCTGATGGCACTAACTGAACCACTTAAAGATGCTACAGTGTGTCATAGGAGATGATCAACCCTGAGAAAGAGATTCAGAACTCCCAGGGAACTAGAACTTCTAGGCTTGCGGGTTCTCCTGAGACTTACAAAGGGGCAAAGAGACCAGCAGGCAGCCATTCTCAGCCAGGAAAGAGGCTTAGACCTAGAAGCCAGGTCTTAGAAAAGGCAGCTCACAGGCTCCTCTCAGCCTAGAGTCACCCTCCCTTTAGAGCTGGAACAAGAAAGGGACACGAGTGGCAGGCAAACCTTAAGCCACACGCAGACACAGGGCCACATGAGATGTGTCTGCTGTGCCAAGCACCTGAGTGTGAAACCCTCCCTTTGGCGTGCCTGGTGACTGTCTTTGGTCTAACGCGAACAGGTGGACGGTAATGAGGAGGAAGAAAGGAAAGCAGATTAGCTCCTCACACACACGGGGTCTGCCCCTCTGTGACTGTTTACTGGCCTGAATTAGGCAGATCATGGCCAACAGAGGCAGTTTCCTTCCTCCAAAAGCAAAGGAAGCGGTAAGCTGGAAGCCTGAGCAAGGCCACCATCGTGCACAGTAACTAACAGGCCGATTCCACTGCACAACCCACAGGTGAGGACCAGGAGGAAACTGCTCCGGGGCCAGCGCAGGGGGCAGGAACGGGCAAGAAGGAAAACTGGCCAGAAAGGTGAATGCAGACATGCTCTGGGACCTCTAAGCACAATAGCTCTACAAAGCTGGCCGCCATAGGCTGCATAAAGTACAAAGAGCAAAGACTCACAGTCGGACAGACCTAGCTATGGGACCCCCGGAAAGTCACTCACCCTCTCTGGCCGCGTGTCTCTCATAAACAGTTTGGGAGAGGTGACCTTCTGTTTGGAAGCGAAGACTGGAAGACTATACTTACTATACTAATGCAGGCTAGCATCTGTGCAGAAAAAGGCTGACAGCTTGGCTCTGACTTCTGAGTCAACAGGAAACTGTGTCCACTGCGCCTAGACTACTGCTGCAAAAATATGGTTTATGCTGGACACTTGCCTTCCTTTTAGGAGGCTGGAATTGTGGTATGTGCTAAGCAGAGGGTGCTTACATGACCAGTACCCAAAAATATCTTGGGTGCTGAGTCTCTAATGGGTTTTCTTTCAGAATCATGTTGCTGCATTTTTGTTGCTGTAATAAATCTTACTCATGAGTACAATTATATGCTAGTCCTGTGAGTCTTTCCAGCAAATTTCCGAATGTGGGGGTGGTCTTGGGGACCCCCAACACAGTATCAATGATATATACCTGCACCTAACATGAGCCAATAGAGAGCCTTACCCACCTCAAGAAGGCCCACTGTCACCACCTCGTTAGAAATGAAGCTATAGACAGAAGATGAGACTGGGCAAGCAACCCAATAAAAAGCCCCAACCCCTAGAGGGAGGTAACCAGAGGGAGAGAAATAACACTGACTGAAAGCCCACAGGGAGCCAGGAGTCATCCTAGCCGCTCTATCTTCATGACCCCACTTCCTTATCACAACAGTATCATTATTCCCAGTGCTTAAAGAAACTAGGCAAAGAGAGACGGAGTAACTAGCCTGAGGTCACACAGCTGGCCACAGAGGCTGCAGTCTGCTCTTCCCAGCACCCACGCTGCCTGCAAAACTGCCACTCCCTCGCCTGTCAGGCCACTTGGAGGGCCCTAGTCTTTGCTCTGCCAAGCAAGTCATGAGAAGTTTTCTGGAAAGCTAGTGCAGAAAGGGCATTTTAGACCAAATGATCCTTATCATCTGCATTTGATATTTTTCAAAGCATCATCTCACTTGACTCTCATGACCACCATGTGCTGGGCTGCCTGGCAGACACCCTCCTGTCAGACTGGAAAATGAGGCCTAGCGAGGGCCAGGTGATTAGGACAAGGGCAGAACTTGACCCAACGCCTCCTTCCACATAACCCAGTGCCTGGCACACAGGAGGAACTCGGTAAATGCCTGCTGGCTGGATGAATGATGATTCAGTACAAACTAAAAGTGGACTCAACAGGAAACCAGAGGTTCATCCTCTGAACCTTCATCTTTTACACTGTTTTTCTTTAAAAACATCTGCATAGTACTAACCAGTCAACAAAGAACTCCAAGTAACCTTCATTTGGCTTCTCCAGCTTCGGCGTCCCCATTTCTGCTTTCACTCCCACCAAGATGTCCGTGTGACCCTGCAGACATATGCAAGAAGGGTCCTCACTCCGGGCAGGCAGCCAGGTACCCAACCATTGCCCTCCTCTCCCAGACGTACACCCCTGGGGGACTCTCTTAAGAGCAATGCTGGGACTTGGAAAGTGGCCCTTTGAGAAGACGAAAGGTTCTTCAGATCTAGACAGACCCCCTCCCAGAGTTTGGCTTGGGTCTTGGATTTTCCCAGGACAACTGTGCCACAAGGGCCTGGAGGGGCCTGTGGCTGGCTCCCTAGGAACTCCTCATTCTTCCACCTGGGCATGGACGGACTGTGGCCACAGCACTCACCAGCTTGACCCTAGCAGACCCACTGGTGTTGGACACCACGTCGGTTTCCACTTCGACACATCGGTAGTCCTCACATCCACGGCCATCCACGCGGAGGTCTTCCTAAGTGCAACAACCATAATCCTGAGGCTGTGATCCCAAACCAACAACACTCCCAAGCCAATTCACTCCTCTTCATTCCCCTAGAGAAATATGCAGTATATCTTTTTTTTCTTAGTGAATCATCCAAGTTTGCCACCCCTGATGCTGAAGATGGGTTTCAGAGTGGTCTAGGCAGTGCTTGCCCCTTGTCTTTTTAATTCAGTTATTTACTGATATCACTGTAACTCACAAGTGTCTGTTTTATGCTGTGGCTATAATCCAGTACTACCAATATTATCTTGTTGCTCCAGAATTGGCCACAGGGAGCTCCTTTGGGTGGGTTCCTAAGTTCTTTCAACATGCCTCCAATCTTTTTCTAGCACTTCTTTATTTTCCAACAACACAAGTCGTCCCAGCCTCTTGTATTTCCCCTGCCCCAACCCTGGGATCAGCCCTTTCTCCAAAGAGCCCCGGTTCCTTTTATTGGGGGGGAGAAAAACCAGGATCTGGATACTGGGTAGGTTCATTCCTGCTGGGGCGTCATTTCTTCCAGAGCTTCTCAGCAGACAGAGCTAGAAAGCACATGCATGTACACTCTCCCCCTGCCACCAGTGTTTATTTCTGTATAACTACACATCTGTTAAAAAGCCATGTGTTCACACTGACAGTTGTGTCTAACCTTCTTCCTTGCCTTATGTGTATCTTCTCTGTCAGACAGGGAGAAACCTGGCTTTCACCATTTACCATGTACTCAGGTATTTGTTAAACCTTAGTATATATACACTTTCAGAATTGCTAACCCACACCCCTGTGAGAAACAAACTTACTAAGAGCACAGTATTTGTATCGAGTCCTGTTTAGCTCTCTTATTCATCCCTGGCAGTCTGTGTTCCAGTCTGGGTCCCCCACACCCTGTTACTTTTAATTACTTATTTACTCTTTGGGTACGTGGACCATCAGCAAAGCTATCAGAAAGGGTGTGCCCAGAGACAGGGTGCTCTCCCCTCATCCCTTCCCCCCTTTCCCACCCACACCAGGCAGGAAACCAGTCTCTTTAGCTCCAGGCAGGAAACCAGTCTCTTTCTGTATTTCCTTTGCACAAATGAGCAGATATCTGAATATTTTAAATATCCCCTTCTTCTGTAAGGGCGGCTTCCTACAGATACCCTGTGACACTCTGCCTCTTTTTAACACTTTACATACACAGGAAGTCACCCCCTATCTGAGCACGGAGATCCTCCTCACTCTTCATAAACATTTTTGGAAAGCATTTTCTTTTTTTCCAGAAAAGGAATCATTAGGATTATCAGACTCTCAAAGGGGTTAATGTTCCTCCAAACATTAAAAAACACTGTCCTGAAGAATGTTAACCGTCAGAAACTTATCTTTAAACTACCTGGTTAACTGCATGTGACTTTTTTTATTTTGAGAAATTAAAATACAAAAAGGCAAAAGCTGTGTGCTCCCTCCACACAGTACTGACTACTGCCATGTGTGTTTCAGCCCTTTTACTACTCTCTCAACTCCTGTTAAAGGAAAAAACAAAACCAAACCAAAGTATCATAAGTCCGGTTGAAGTCCCCTTGCTCATCCATGCACCTCCGACCCATTCCCTCCTTGAAGAGAATCCTTATCTTGAGTCTGGGGAGACTTGGACTTGAAAAGCAACAGAATTTCAAGCCTGGGAGAATGAGTCTCATGAGACAACTCAAAACTTCAGGGCCCATCCACAGAACAGGAAGGCTTTCTAAGTCAATCTGTGACTCCTTGTTTGCTCCATCCACCCAAGGCGTGCCCCGATAGGAAAGTGAAAACCTGGCGGAATCCTTCACAGGCTGCAGGCATGGAACAACTGTGAACAATTGCTAGGAGCACTAGTTATGGGTTCCAGGCCTGGTCCTGCCATTAACCAGCTGCTTGACCTAGGTAACCTAGGACAAGTCCCTTCCCCTATAAACTAATTCCCACATTTGTAAAAAGATGGAGACTGAATTAAATGACCTCAAAGGTGCTTCTCTAACTCTGCAGATCTATATATCGATAGCCACCATTATTTGCAAAAATTAATAGTAACTACTACTTAATGTGCATTTACCATATATGCGATAATGTCCTAGAAACACTACACAGTTAACACGCTGAATCCATTATGCAAACAGAAAAAAAGGTTGAAAGATACTAAGTGGCTGGCCCCAGGTCTCACAGCCAGTAAGCAGCACTTGAACTCCAAGCCAGAGCTCTTCCCCACAATTCCCCGGGACCACCTGCATTCTACAGGGTCTCTTCACTGTCCCTCAGAGGATGGCCTGGCTGGCAGTACCAGTTGGTCTTAATGATGATGATAACAGCTCTGAGAGCAAGGAGACCACAAGGTGACAGGGCTCCCAACTACTGCTTTAAAATACCACTCACCCTGGAAAGATCTAGTGACACCTTTGCAGTAACAACCCACATACTTGTTCCTGGGTAGGGGAGGGGAAGAGTATAAAAAGACTGGGCCTCCCCAGCTCCTGCCTCAGTAGCCTTTGAATCAGTCTCTGCCCCAGGGGAAGGCTCAGTGAAAAAGGCTCAAGTGACAAGAGGTAAACAAAGAGCTACAAATTATCCTTTCAAAGAATACATCAACTATAAATTATTTTCAAAGAAAAAAGCATGGAAAGGATAGAAGGGGAATAAACCAAAACACCAAACAAACTAGTCCACAGATCACTGCACCCAGGGCAACTTTTTTAAAAATCCAGTTTTCCTCCTAAATGACAGGAAATCGCTTAAACCTGCCTGACAAGCCTCCAATTTTTATTCATCTGCAGCACTCAGGAGCAAGGGAACTCATCCATGTGCAAACACATAAGAACAGGGGCTGCCCTGAAGTGAAGGCTTCATTTAAAAACCAACAGAGATGTCAACAAATGATGGGCAGTACCTTGGAGGGACACCCAGTCCTTCTCAGCTTGGGGGACAAAAGCACCTTTCCAGATAAAGGGCTTCAGGATGCTGGAATGGCTCCAGGTGAATTTTAAGTTGTTATCTCTGTGATCACAACTCTGCCTATAGGGTGTGGTGTGGTGGAGTCACCTCCAACTTACATTTAATTTTCTGCTGCCACAGACCAGCTTTGCGACCTTCAGCAAGTTCCTCAACAGCTCTGAGCCTGGCTCATCGTCTAGAAAGCAGGAATGGACCCTGACCTTGCAGTTATAGGAGAATCTGAAAACTCCAAATCATTTACAGGGAACTCCTCAGCACAGTGTAGCACATGGGAGGCCCCACTGGCAGTTTCCTCCTCCTACTTCTGGGGGCAGGTATTAGCTCACCAAATCCTCAAAGCCGACCATGGAGAGAGGTTACAGAGGAAGATATTGAGGTACCACAGTTTCCTGTTTGTGACCGAGGGGAAGGACATGGGACTCAGCCCAGAGCTGCTTGACCCAGTTCACCCAGTCCTGTTTCTCCTTTACAGAAGCTGACAAGTCAGTTCTACTGATCCAACACACTTGGGAGGGTTTCAGACTGCAGAGGTCCTCTGAGGCGATGGTGACCCCGCATGACCTTGCTGTGACTGCCCAATACCTTGGAGCTCACTAGAGAACTGAGACTAGAACGCCTTCTCCCCGGAGGAAATACAAACCACTTAGGAAAGGGGCCATGACTGGTCCAGCGTTGCAGGCCCAGGCCCAAGACAGTGGGCAAAACTAAATGTCAACCTTCTTTTCACTTTCCATGCCTGTTGAGTAGCCCCTCCTTCCTTTGACAGGATGTGTTTCCATTCATCTTGCGAAGTGCCTGGGTGCAGCCTTTCTGTGCCACCAGTCGGTAAACGGAAATGGCACAGGGCTCAAAATCAAGTGTCCTGCACTGTCGATGGAGCAGTTGAGTCCTGACTGCTCAGTCTCACAGCTGAGGACCAGGCTCAGGCCCTGTTCTCCCTCTTCTGTGCTGCCCACCATAGGGGTTTACCATTAACCCCCCATGAAAAAGAGACCCTGTCCCTGGGAGGGGTGTGGATTTTTCCCAGCCGCGGCCACGGGGAGCAGCTGCTTTGCTCGTCTATGTAAGTTTCTCCTATTAAAGCTCTTATGAGTTTGAATAAGGCCTCAGGTCAGTTCTTCAGAATAGATCCCGAATTTAGATTTCTGGGGCTCTCCCCCCAAAGAGATAAGAGAATACAGCAGATGCATAAAAATCAGCAGAGACGAGCAAGGGAGATGAGGGTCCCACTGCCCTTGAATTCCTGGAGAGACGCTTACACAGCCTTCGCATATACACTTTTTTGCTTGAGCCTGTTGGTTGGTTAACATAACTAGCAAGTGAGTCCTCAACACACAGTGAGGTTACCTTCAACGGCTTCCAACTCCCACCCAACCAAGATGAAACATGCGGGAAATAGGAACCGAAGAAAGGCTGAGGGCGAGGGAGACCGGGAGCTGAAACTGAACCAACAGGACACAAGGTGGAAAGTGAAACAAAATGGTGCCCTTCCCGGGACCCGGCGAGGCTCTGAGCAGACGTCGCTAACCTGCAGAGGGCGCAGGCAAGAAGCCGCCCTCGGCCGCTCGCCGCCAGGCCCAGCTTCCCCGCCNGCGGTCCCACCGCAGAGCGGGCGCGAAAGGTGCGGAGCCAGTGCAGCTACAGCCGCCTCTGGGGCTCCGACGCCTCCCACCAACGGGAAACTGCAAACGCCGTGCCGCGGGTGGTGGGGCCGCTTTTCAAACACCTTCCCCCTTTGCTCGAAAGGCGATTTGTATTTTCACAGCGCGTTCCCCACGGGCGCCCTCTCTCCCCGGCGCCTCG